ACACTTGGTGTTTAAGCCTATCGACGATTCTCTTGAAGTGGATCACTTGATTATAAGCAGCAATTAACTCTTCATCCTTTACATAAGTAGCAAAATGAAGCTTAGAAACTGCAAACTCAAGATCTTGAATCTAAGGTATGTAATATCCAATCTCCTTCTCTGCACTTTCATACTTAACTTGGATCGCGTCAAGCCTAGTCTTCAAGTCAACGATCTCTTGGCAAGCGGTATCAAGCTGCAGAGAAGTGGGGGCAGAAATATTAGACCCTTTCATATTAGACCCCTTCAAAGCAACGAGCTCAGAATCCAACCTCTTGATCTCCTCAGCTGAGGAATAAGCTTCAGCTGCCATAGTCTTCGCCACCTCCTTGGCAGCCTTGCTACATCTGCATCATAGCAAGCAGAACAATCGTTCTATGTTGGGTTGTATGCTTCGCAAAGGAACTTGGACAAATAACCTTTCTAACGCCATCAACAAACTTGGCACAAGCGTTCATGTCTTCAAGCAGATCTGGTCTTGACAGCACATGGATCTCAGCAGCCTCCCCAGAAGCAGGCTTAGTGTATTTCTCACAACTGCCCACGCGAGCAGTCTCATTTTTCCCAGCAGGCGAATCAGTCTCTGCAGCAGAGGGAGTGAGCCTTAGCGCCACTTTAACAGCAGAGTCCACCTTATCGCTCTTCATAATAGCAAGCCTCTCCAAAGGTGAACCAGACTTAGCTCCTAGCAGACGTTTTGGTACAGACTTCGGCATTGGGGGCACTACAAGACCTTTATGCTGAGCAATCCGATCAGCAATCATACTAGCTATTCTCGATGGCAGGCACCACATGCTCAGATTTAGCAACTTCATTTTTTTCCCATTAGAAGAAGTCATGCCAATCACAGACCTCTCGGTAGTAGGCGGACCTTCACGAGCAGTGGAAAAAGTCTTTAGTTTTCTCTTAACCAGCATCTCTTGAGCAGGTGGGGAAGATCTCTTCTTTCCATCTTCATTCATAGTAAGCTTTACAATAGCGATTAGATGAGCCAATGCATTCGCCTTAATCCTCTTTACCTCATCTTTCGGGGGCAGCCTACCTTTTTCCTGACGAAGAGAACTAAGCAGCCAACGACATTGACAGTACCTAGCATTCTAGCAGGCAGGAGGCCTACATGCCCAGCATTCCAGCAACCTATGAGCTCTCACGACCTCCTCATTTCTCTCAATTGCTAGCTTGGCCCAAGTCAAGTCCAAGAGCCCAAAGGACATAAGCCATACGGCTCGCCTAGCACCACAATCGCGGCCCCAGCCGCACAAGTTGCCCTTGGCTCTAGCCAAGCTGAGCTGCCCAAGCAGTGGTCCTTGCCACAACACCTCCTCAGCCTATGCCAAGCCGACTCTTGGCCTTTGCCAACCGACGTGCTGCACCACCCCAACGGCTGCCCGGCGACAGCACTATCCAAGAAGAAGACAAGAAAAATTAAATTTTTCTTACATCGGTGCGGCACGGAGAAGACGAAGAAATCAACGAAAGACAGTCCTTTGCATGGGCAAGATGTAGAAGATTGCTAGAAGAGGGGGAACAAATATCCTCTAAGCTCTCTCTCTTTTTTAGGGTAGAGTAAATCGCTCTCCAAAGTTGATTTAATAACCCACTTAAGGTGGACTTAAATAGACTTTGAGAGAAATTTATTTCCCTTTCCTAGAAGGATCTAATTTTCTATTAAAGAGAGAATCTACATAAAAAAAAAGGAAGCAGTCCTATGTTTCATAAAGCAAGAAGATCTTTACACCTGCTACCCTTTCCTGCGAGCAGCCCAACAGGTGTGGAGGCATTTGTGGAGCCAAAAATAATCACAAGGCGACACGTGGATTTTTGGGTAAAAGAGGACAAAAATACCCTTGAGGCATACCGGGATTCCTACGCGCTAGCAGCGGACAATCATCCGTCAATCAAAACAAAAGTGCCCAAAATAGGTAACAAATTCAAAATTATTTCATCCATCATCATCCTATATTTTCCACAAGGTAATCATTCCATAACTTACAAAATATTCCACATAAATCACATAACCCCCAAAATATTTACACCAAAATGTGTTGATTAACCAATTAATGGATTAATTTCCTAATTAATCCATTAAATCACACATTAAATCATAAGTTACACCCTATCCCTACAAATAGGCTCCCATTTTCACCAAAAGATCATTCCAACACTCTTGCAAAACTCCCAAAAAGCTCTCTAAACACTTTTCTCTCTAAATTCTAACTTTGACATCGGAGGTTCTTCGGCCAAAGCCCCCCATTCATCGTGGGCGTGTGAGGCTTTTGGCCTTAACCAAAGGTGTTAGTTGTTTTGTAGGTGCAATTTTGTCCAAGATCAAGGAGGAAGAAATTTGCATCCACACAAAAATATCGTACTCCCAACAATGTTCAAAATGGGAAGAGATCCTCTTTGGATCTCTCCTACCAAAGCCCACCAATCAATTAATCCGAGTATTTAAAATTTGATCCAACAGCTAAAATTATTATAACTTTTTAAGGGCTCCCTGTTTGTAACCGTTGGATCAAATTTCAAGGGTCCGAATTAATTGATTGGTGGGTTTTGGTGGGAGAGATCTGGAGCTCTTCCCGTTCAAAACTATTCAAAGAAGCTTTTATGTGAATTATATATTGGTGAATAATTCATGATAAAATGATTCTAATTAAAAGGGTTGATCCTATTCCCTAGGTTGAATCAATGATGTAGATTAATTAAGAGAAATATTAATTATGGAAATTTTAAAAGTGAATATATGGTATAATTATCACCAAAGCTACTGTATGGCAAATTTTTAGTTGTTGGTAGTGCCACTCGACGGTGCAAACTAACCACTCTACAAAATTTTCTCGTAAAATGGGATTAAATATAGTTTGACTAACTAAAATTTAGTAAGATGTGAAAAGTTGCATCTCTATTAATCACAATCTCTATCATGCTTCTAAATCTAGAGAGTGAGAAAGAAGATCTTAAGAGCTCCTCTAACATTAATTTTTTTTTTTAATAAATTTTTGGAAAAAAACTCTATTTCTATTGGTTGAACTAACCTCCATATAATTATTTTCCTCAACAAAAAAATAAATAAAATTAGAGAGTATGGTTGGAATAATTTTTTTATAGATCGAGCTCCTAAAATAGCTTTCTAGGCTACTTAGCTAAAATTTAATTAAAAAATAAAGAACATGATTGAATATACTTGGAGAAGAATACCACTAGACTCTACAAAGTGCATAGCATTGAAGTCAATATCAGTTTAGTTCCCTAATGATATCAAATAGAGAAACTTGGGCATAACTTTCAAGTAAGCCTTACACTAATCATTTATTAATCCAGTGTTAGTCAAACCATTAGAAAAGGCCACATAATTAATGAACATATAAGGTAGAATGAAAGGGACTTCCATGTTCTCTATACGTACCTGCGTGCCAACTTGTAGGGTAAGCATTATTTTATTTGATCATTTCTCTTTAATTTCCGATTAAAATAAGGTCATATCACATGGAATACCATTGGGTGCCATCTTCCACGTTCTTTTAAGCTTCTCAAAACATTATAATCTAAAAAGAAATTCAAGACAGAAAAGCTTGGAGAGTTAATAATTTTGGCAAAGCACTCCAGATGCATTGTGTTAAGATCATCTCCAGTTATGGAGCGATAAATGTAAAAATTAATATTTTAAAGGCCACCTTTAGAACTAAATTTTTTCATTTCTAATCATGCAGGGTTATAATTTGTTTCTCTTCATATTGTATTACTTTCTGACCAAACTTAGCCCGTCCTAATGCCAAACTTAGCCTGATTCTATTTAGTCCTTTGAATGGAGGTTAATTTTGTCAATTTAAAGACTAAATGTGGCCTACAGCCCTTGATAGGAGATGGCCTAAGGGCAGTTGCCTAATAAAACCATCTGCAATAAGAAAATACTATCTTCTGAAAGTTTTCTGATATCCAAATATGCATGAGCATAGTCAGAGGTAAAAAGTAACTCAACTCCTAATTCATAAATATGAATCTTCTACTACATACAAAGGCTTGGTTGTTATCAGATATATTCTACATGAGTATAGCAATATACCATCGAGATATATCTTCTACCACATTACTTCGAAATGTATTCCAATTTGATGCAAGAATTTTCTCTAAAAAACTGGGTGAGTGTGATCCAATAACATATAGATCTAAAAAAATAAAAAATAAACTAATTGCAGGGATCCAATGGAGTGGATTGTCCAAAATATTAGTGAAAAAAAAAGTGTACGGATAAACATTTATATATGTATATATTGAACACGCTAGTTTGAGTTCGTAGGGGCAATGAAACTTCCCTGTACTACTAGATTCCATTTGGGATATGTTTATTTATAAGCTTAAATTGGTAGAGAGCTTTCATTGTGGAATATTGTTGCAAATCTTTGTAAGGCTATTTAATCATTATTGTCATGATCAATAGACTAGTTTATAGTAAAACCTGAATTAATTTAATTTGAAATGTAGCCAAATTTTGAACATGCATGCTAAAGACTTTCTCAATTTTAAAATTTTAACCACTCAAGGGTATAATTCAAACACTACTCGATGGGGCTCGACTGGATATGTATAACTATTGAAGAAGAATAAAGGTTTAGTTTTTCATATTTCCCCTATTACTTATAGGGGTGTGCTATCCACACACCCATTTTTACTTCTCACACATCCCTTATTAATTTCTATCATTTGATATTCTTTAATCTATTTGATCCAATGGTTGAAATTTAGAAGAGTATGTGAGAAGTAAAAAAAGGTGTGTGGATATCATATCGCTCTCTTATATTCTAGTGTTGGTGAAAAAGCGGTGAGGGAGAGTAAATAAAGCAGTAAAATAAAATGCAAAAACCGAGATAGTCCGGCTTCAGAAACCTGGAAGGTAGCAGCTGCCGATGGGCACCACCTAGGGATTAAACAACAAAAGACCTCGATGGGGTTATGATTCTTGAGGCAGTTGCCCCAGCAGACGTACCAGAAATTTAATGATAATGCAATATAAAATATCCCCTTAGAATTAAAATATTCCAATCAATTCATCACTCCAAGCCTCCCAACTCCTTTAAATCCTGCCACCTGCTTCAGACTTTACACCAACGAACACAAAACCCAGCTTTTTTCTGCATCTGCTAGCCCCCATTTCTGCTTCATGGATTCAAAGAAGTCTAACAAGATTAGGGAGATTGTTAGGCTCCAACAGATCCTAAAGAAGTGGAAAAAGCTAGCAAATGCTTCTAAGAACACCACCACAACCAATTCCTCATCAGCTAATACCATAGTGATGAATAATGTCAATAGTACTACTACTAGTACTAGCAGCAATGGCAGCAGCAGAAGCATGAAGTTCTTCAAGAGAACACTCTCCTTCACAGACGTTTCCGCGGCTCAAAATGACATCGTGCCAAAAGGGTTTCTTGCCATGTGTGTTGGGAAGGAGCTGAAGAGATTTATCATCCCAACTGAGTACTTGGGTCACCAAGCTTTTCGGATTCTGCTCCAGGAAGCCGAAGAGGAATTCGGGTTTCAGCAAGCAGGTGTGCTCAAGATTCCATGTGAAGTGTCAGTGTTTGAGAAGATCTTGAAAATGGTTGAAGAGAAAAGGGAGGTGTTTTCCTTGCACAATGAGTTTGGATTCATTAATGCAGAGAAAGACATGATTGGCTTTTGCTCATCTCCATCAGATTGTGAGCTTACACCATCTCATCACCCTCAAATGTGCAGATGATGAATACTTTTGATATAGTTTGATATTATATGTTCTTCCCCATCTTTTTTCTTCTTTCTTTTGCTTTATTTTGTGAAGATAATGTAATGGAAGAGGGCTGAGTGTGCTTAGAGGAGGATTTAGGGTTGGATTAATAAGGTGGATTTCTTGTTCTACATGAAAATTATTAGTTAATAGTTGGATTGATGATCTTCAATTAAGATCCAAGTTATGTTGTATCCACCAACATATACGGATATGAAACGTTCATCTTAATTGAAGAGCCAAAATATTATTCAGTTTAAATTTAATGTCGTAATTTTGTGATTTTCATCCTATGAGTTAGTGATAACAGGAAAAACATATTATTTCCAAAAATTTGACTCCAAGCCAAGCCAAATGGGAAATTTGAAAAAATACCCAAAATTTGAACACTATAGAATTATAGCAATCTTTTTAAATTTATGATATGTATAACCAAAAATTGATATGAAAGTACTAATATACCCTTAATAATTAAGACTTTTTACAAAACAAATTCAAAGCCTCATCTCAACAACCTGAGAATTCCAGCCCTCTCACAAAACTCAGCCAATTTCTGATTATCAAAATCAAAAGCTAAATTTCCAACAAATACCTTGGCCTCCTCTTGTGGCTTGACATTCGAATCGTCCTCTCTCTATCTCTCTCTCTCTCTCTCTCTCTCTCTCTCTCTCTCTCTCTCTCTCTCTCTCTCTCTCTCTCTCTCTCAGACCATCTCCAACCCTTGGGCTAAAAGCCAAATTTTTTAGCCCGAAAAATTTAGCTTTTAGCCCAGAAACAGTTTTTCTGCTCCAACCCTTCTGGTCTAAAATTTTAGCCTCAAATTATTAAATAATGAATTTAGGATAATTTTTTTTCTTAAATTTACTTTAAAAAAAATTATGTAGACTATCGTAAATTAATTTTATGAACATTTTTATCTGAAAATATTTAAATTCCTATAAATATTGAAAAATCACTAAATCGATACATGAAACTCATGAAACACTATGGAAGAATATGAAAATCATAATAGAGATGTATAAACACAAAATACATAAAACACACAAGACACACAGAACACATATGAAGCACTCACACCTTTATTAAACTCCTAATTAATTTTCAATTCAAACATTTCCCAAATATAAAAAATAAAATTAGAATAAGTTTGTACCCATAAAAATTTTATAAAAAATTTTCAATTTTTTAATCTTATATGTATCCATTCTTAAATATATCAATTTGTTAAAAATGTACCCTTTTTTAATATAAAATGTACCCATTTTTTATATAAAATTTCATTCAATCTTTTCTTTAATCCATTTTTTAAACTTATATGGGTACATTCTATTTCGTTGATTCGAGAGTGTATCCATGACAAGTTTAATAGAAGAAATTTAATAATGTCATTAAGCCTAATATCTTTCTTTTGTGCTTTTGAAAAATGTACCCATGTTTTGGTACAATAATTTTTTAGTTAGTTTTGATGAATGTACCCATGTGTGTATTGGAGAGTATAATTCATCTTTAATATTTTTAATCCCATAATTATGGGTTTTATTTAAAATCTCATTAATATAAATAACTGCAAATTTTATTTTTAATTTAAAAATATAATAACCCACATAGAAATACATTATTACATTAATGTCAAAGACTTCGATCAAAAACTAAAAACCACAAAGGTTTCAGTCAAAGAACATTGGTAGTTAGGGACCGCATCCAAAGTGTTCCTATTCCTGATGCACTTAAGGAGTTACTCCTCGTGTATATGAAGATGTGACATCATTTTATTCTACAAATTTTATAGTTAAAGTCATTTCATTCGCTATTTTTATTATTAAAAAATTATCTATAAAAAATCTATTTAATTTGAAGACTATTTAGCAAATTATACGTGTGAACAAGTTGACGATTATGATAACAAATAATAAACATCAATTGGTTTCATTCATATACAGATGACTATATAGTCTCCAAGTCAAATGATTTTTTCTAAAGATGATCTTCTTATAATGATAAAGAAAACAGAATGGTTCGAATTATAACGTTTGTACAGTGAAACGATATCACGTCATTATATTAGGAGAAATGACTCCTTACATTCGAGAAGCCAAACTTGACCCATGTACAATAAGAGCTCTTTGTAGTAATAATGTTGGTACTAAACCAATTTTATTACTGTTGATGCACAAAATCAGTGGGGACTTTGGTACAACAGAAAATGTTAAGTTTGTGACCTTCGCTAGATTGCTCCGATCATTAGTGTGGATAAGTATGTAAATGGATAGAGACAGGGAAGCAAACACAAGATGTACGTGGTTCACCCAGATTGGCTACGTCCACGGAGTAGAAGAGTTTTCATTAATTGTAAAGGGTTTACACAAGTACATAGGTTCAAACTCTCCTTTAGTGAGTACTAATGAATGATTTAGTACCAATGACATTAGGAAATATTGTGAGAGAATGATCTCTATTTATAAAAAAGAGTTTCTAGTTTCATTCTGACATTGACACGTGTCGTGTTGTGATTGGCTTCTGATGTTGACACGTGTTGCGCTATGATTGGCTTTTGATGTCTACACGTGTCGCGCTGTGATTGGCCTTCTGGTTGGAGGGAAACTCTTTTGGGTCCTTGACGGTATAACGTTGACCGGTGCTCAGTAGTTTCAGGATTGGTCAAGTATGGTACAAACAATTACTATAAGAAGGTTATTCCTTAATAGATGTATAGTTACAACAATTATTTTTTGACTTGGTTTTCCTTAATGAAAGTTATATGGATATAAAATACTATTTATAGTGAAGTATGTCAATTTTCAAGATGTTGGCATTAGGAAGAAAGAAACACCTCATCTCAAATAGCTATTGCATGCACGCGTTGTTAGAAAAATATGCGGAAGAGTCGCGTTGAAGTTCTTACCGACAAATATTACTTTTTGGAGGCAAGTTTTTAAGACGGGACTTTGAAAAATTATAACTTATTACAATCTGAAAAGCTTCACGATCCAAATAGCCTGTTTTGTCGTAGTTTTGATTTTTAATCTGAGCCGTGTAATACCAATTGAGAAGCTCTTCGACATTGCCTGTTCGTCAAGCTTTGAAATACAGAACATACAACCAATCTGTCGAATAAAAAAGAAACAGAATGCTCGAAACAGATGATAAACTATGTATTTTGATCAATTACATCGAGGATAATACATCATAAACTACGTATTAATGTTAATACGCTAATTAACATTAATTATTCGAGATCCAAGTCAAAAAGAAAAACAAAGACAATTTGGTATGACTACGAATCAGGCACCCTCAATGTACATAAACAAAACCTCTTTGTATATTTGCTGTATATTTTGCTTCTAAGTAATCAGCAACTCGGGTGCAGTAAACTGGTACAACCGGAATCGTTATATACAACTCTCAGAGAAAGACCGGAGCCATAACCAGCGTTATAGTTGCAAGCATTTTGATGAGAACGTGCAGCGAAGGTCCGGCTGTGTCTTTGAATGGGTCACCCACACTGCAATGCCAAAGAAATTCAGAATCGGGCAGCAATCAATGTGCAAGGAAAGCCACGTGAAAGAAAGAACTAACTACAAGAATTATCAGGGAGATAGAAGCCAAATGATTGTTATGAAAATACTTTCTACTCCACAACTAGACATGTTCAATGTCAAGAGAGAAAAAAAGAAGATATCAAGAGAACTTACGTATCTCCTGTAACTGCAGCCTTATGGCAATCACTTCCTTTGCCACCGAGAACCCCTGTCTCAATGTACTTCTTTGCATTATCCCAGGCACCTCCGGCTGTGTTGAGGAAAAGTGCCATAAGAATACCGGAAACAGTTGCAAACATCAGCATGGAAGCCACAACTTTAGCACCAAGTAGAGGTTGCCCATTGTAGTATCCAAAGATCCGGAACACAATACCTGCAAGGAGTACGAGCAAGAATTAATCCTTGATCATGAACCGCATGGTAAAGCAGCATGTTGATATGTGAACACTAAACATTTGACAATAATGCGAAGAGTTGCATCTTTTTCATCAAAAAAATAAATACTAGCTCCTTCCATCAACCAATCCCACATCCAATTTACCAGTAAGATAAGGACCAATTGAATCAGAGAATCATATTCCAAAATCCAGAGTAAAACAACATTTATATAACATGATCACACAGCTTTCACAATAGGAAGCACCAAAAGTCGATGAATAAACGATTATATAAAGAACCCTGATCCTGGAATTCAATGCAGCAGTATAACAGAACATAAAGAAACTTACACCACGTGTAGCATACTCTAGAGTTTGTTCTTTTACTCTTATAATTTAAACATAATTATGCAGTAACACTAGACTTCCATTATGCGATTTGTTTTAATCAATGCCCCAGAATTAATTTCATCACAATTCATAGCAGCACAACCAAAGGAAGAGAGACGCAATAAATGAAGATATATACATGGTAAAAATACTTCTATACTGTGCACAAAATAAGATATAACTTTATGCAGCCCTTCATATAGAAATAATGCAACTCCAATTCACACATTAAAAAGCGGCCATGATAAATCGTGTCCAGTAGATAAAGGAGTACAATTGAAATAAGATAATTAACCCACCAACAGCTATAGGTGAAATAATAGCCAAGACACCAGGTTTTATCATCTCCCTTAAAGACGCAGATGCTACAATCGCGACACAACGAGCATAATCTGGCTTCTCCTTGTACTCCTACAGAAAGCATGTCAGGAAAAGCATAATTAGAAGGCTGGTTTGATTATTTATCCAACAGTTGTGCGCACACACTGTTGTGTACCATCATGTACGCTAATTTTTTGCCATCATCTTCTTTTCTACATTCTCTCTGTTCACTTTTGAATTCTTATTTCAATTTACTTACAATTATGCCATTATGTTTTGACAATCAGTTGTAATTTGTTGGTAATAAATGAACATGTTGAATAACTACTGTAATTAATTAGTATTTAAATGGGGAATTGTTATTAGCACTCCAAAAATCTCATTCTACACTCCTCACAAGTGTATTTTTCTTTCTAATTATAGAAAGTTTCGAGTGCCAAATGAGATTTTTGGAGTGCTAATAACAATTCCCTTTAAATGACGTTTAGAACAATATTTATTGTGGTGAAGCTGTGATCCCCAACAAAAGCTTTAGCCTCATTGTAAAGATCAAGAATATGGGAATTTCTACAAAAGCATTACTCACCATTATCCCAGGCCTCTC